CGATTCTATGTGTGTTAACTTTACTGTACGTGTTGTCTATTCTAAGTGTGTCGACTGTTCTGTACGTGTTGTCTATTCTAAGTGTATTAACTATACTGTAAGTGTTGTCTATTATAAGTGTGTTAACTGTACTGTACGTGTTGTCTATTCTAAGTGTGTCAACTTTACTGTATGTGCTGTCTATACTAAGTGTGTTAACTGTACTGTACGTGTTGTCGATTCTATGTGTGTTAACTGTACTGTACGTGTTGTCTATTCTAAGTGTGTCGACTGTACTGTACGTGTTGTCAATTCTAAGCGTATCTACTGTACGTGTTGTCTATTCTAAGTGTGTTGACTGTACTGTACGGTTGACTATTCCAAGTGTGTCGACTGTACTGTACGTGTTGTCTACACTAATTGTGTCTACTGTACTGTATGTGTTGTCTATATTAATTGTGTTAACTGTACTGTACGTGTTGACTATTCTAAGTGTGTCTACTTTACTGTATGTGCTGTCGATTGTAAGTGTGTCAACTGTACTGTGTGTTGTCTATTCTAAGTGTGTTAAAATTACTGTACGTGTTGTCTATTCTATGTGTGTTAACTGTACGGTACGTGTTGTCTATTCTAAGTGTGTCGAATGTACTGTTCGTGCTATCGATTCTATGTGTGCTAACTGTACGGTATGTGTTGTCTATTCTAAGTGTGTTAACTGTACTGTACGTGTTGTCTATTCTAAGTGTGTCGACTGTACTGTACGTGTTGTCGATTCTATGTGTGTCGACTGTACTGTACGTGTTGTATATACTTAGTGTGTTAACTGTATGTACGTTTTAACTGTGCTGTACGTGCTGTCGATTCTAAGTGTGTTAACTGTACTGTACGTGTTGTATATTCTATGTGTGTTAACTGTACTGTACGTGTTGTCTATTCTAAGTGTGTCTACTTTACTGTATGTGCTGTCTATACTAAATGTGTTAACTGTACTGTACGTGTTGTCTATTCTAAGTGTGTTAACTGTACTGTACGTGTTGTCTATTCCAAGTGTGTCGACTGTACTGTACGTGTTGTCTATACTTAGTGTGTTAACTGTACTGTACGTGTTGTCTATTCTAAGTGTGTTAACTGTACTGTACGTGTTGTATATTCTATGTGTGTTAACTGTACTGTACGCGTTGCCTATACTAAGTGTGTCGACTGTACTGTACGTGTTGTCGATTCTATGTGTGTTAACTTTACTGTACGTGTTGTCTATTCCAAGTGTGTCGACTGCACTGTACGTGTTGTATATTCTAAGTGTATCGACTGTACTGTACGTGTTGGCTATTATAAGTGTGTTAAGTGTACTGTACGTGCTGTCGATTCTATGTGTGTTAACTGTACGGTACGTGTTGTCTATTCTAAGTGTGTCGACTGTACTGTACGTGTTGTCGATTCTATGTGTGTTAACTTTACTGTACGTGTTGTCTATTCTACATGTAAGTGTATCTACTGTACTGTACGTGTTGTCTATTCTAGGTGTGTCTATTGTACTGTACGTGTTGTCTATTCTAAGTGTGTCTACTGTACTGTACGTGTTGTATATTCTAAGTGTGTCTACTGTACTGTACGTGTTGTCTATTCTAAGTGTTTCTGCTGTACTGTACGCGTTGTCTATTCTAAGTGAGTCTACTGTACTGTACGTGTTGTCTATTTTAGGTGTGTCTATTGTACTGTACGTGTTGTCTATTCTAAGTGTGTCTACTGTACTGTATGTGTTGTATATTCTAAGTGTGTCTACTGTACTGTACGTGTTGTCTATTCTAGGTGTGTCTATTGTACTGTACGTGTTGTCTATTCTAAGTGTTTCTACTGTACTGTACGTGTTGTATATTCTAAGTGTTTCTACTGTACTGTACGCGTTGTCTATTCTAAGTGAGTCTACTGTACTGTACGTGTTGTCTATTCTAAGTGTGTCTACTGTACTGTACGTGTTGTCTATTCTAAGTGTTTCTACTGTACTGTACGTGTTGTCTATTCTAAGTGTTTCTGCTGTACTGTACGCGTTGTCTATTCTAAGTGAGTCTACTGTAGTGTACGCTTTGTCTATCTAATATACTCTATCTAATAGTACTTACTCTGGAGATTCTTTATGATAGAATAACGGTTGCAATATACCAGCTGGAAATGCTGAAACCAAACAAAACATATAAAAATAATATTCTATTTCATATCACGTCTGCGTTTTCTATGCCTGAGTTTTCTTTATTTGGCTGAATATACACAGAGAATAGATGAAGACGCTACTTACTTATACTGTTACTACTAGAACTGTAATATGCATTAACAATGGCAGGAAATGTTCCCCATCTGTTAATTAGACATTATAATACACTACCATAAGTATCATCGAGGAAATAAAATGATGATATAAACTAATGCAAAGATCAGATATGATTCGTTGTAAAAGGTGGTATACTATTACGACATATATTCTATATTATGATAAAGATACAATGATATAAAATGATGACATGTTCTATGGTATAAGTTAGAATTATATAATATGATCACATGTTCTATGGTGTAAGACACAATGATATAATATGATGACATGTTCTGTGGTGTAAGATACAATGATATAATATGATGACATATTATATGGTGTAAGATACAATGATATAATGTGATGAAATGTTCTATAGTTTAAGACACAATGATATAATATGATGAAATGTTCTATGGTGTATGATACAAATGATATAATATGATTTTCTATGGTGTAAGATGCAATGATATAATATGATGAAATGTTCTATAGTTTAAGACACAATGATATAATATGATGATATGTTATATAGTATAAGTTACTCTACTATAATATGATGACATGTTCTATGGTTCAAGATAGAATGATATAATATGATCACATGTTATGTGGTATTTGATACACAATGATATAATATCATGACATTTCTATGGTGTATGATACAATGATATAATATCATGACAATTCTATGTTGTAAGATACATTGATATAATATGATGACATGTTCTATGGCATAAGACCTTACCTTCAAAATATGCCAACCAGTAATGCGATGGAGAAATTTTAACGTTTGAAGATTTGAGATTTATATAGTGAAAAAATAACTTACTCTTCTTTGTTAACATTTTCTCTCAAGTAATCAAAACTTCTTCTCGTAGATTCACGTAAATATTGCAAGTAATTCTCAAAGTATTTGTTGGATATGAAATCATACTGGAAGGAAAATGTGTGGCTTGGTTTTATACATTGGATTGTAAGAATCCTTAGTATTATTCTGTTCCTATCTCTATCATGGCGCGATGCATTCCTAGTAATATTCAGTTTTCAGCCCCTAGTATTGCGTTAAGCATTCTTAGTATTATTCGGTTTTTGACTCCTAATATGGTGTTAATCATTCCAGGTATTATTTAGTTTTCGACCCTTGAACACATTTTATAACTTGGCCTGAATGCAATATTTTGGATTCGAAGAGAAATCCAAATTCTTCCTCAAATTCTGGAAAAGATGGCTATGTGTGTAGGTGTAGCCTGTCGGTGATCTTGCTTTCACGAATTGAATTATTAATAAGCAAAGAACAAAACGTTATTACACTTAATGATTTAATGCATGCATGCGTTAATGAAGTAGTATTGTTAGCCAAATATTCTATAGCATACATTCATGTAGTTCGATGTATTTCCCATGAGTCCCACAATCACCCCATGTCTAATGTGCCAAGTTTGTGCATATTGAGTAGCTTAATGATATATTACTTATGTATGTAATTTCCGTTTTGGTATCATTATATTAGGGTTAGTACAATGTGGTGATTATGTAAGCCAGTAGAAGTCGTCATTGTGAAATAGAATTGCATATTATTTAAACTCAGTGTTATAGACCCCCGTTTCTGAATTCAGTCAAAGGTTTTATTGTAAAATCTAAAATCTTAAAAACAATTTATAAGGAGAATCATGTGTGCCGGAAACAATAAACAATAGACTGTATGCATGTTTATAGTATGTGTTATAGTAAGGGATTGTATGTGACACATAAAATTAATACACTTATGTTTGAAGAGGGAGTTTTTAAAAAAAATGTAGCATACTTTCATGCAATTAGTTTTCATTTACTAATTGTTTGAATCGAGATCAGTAGCAATACCTATATGTTGCTCATTGATGTGCTATCATGGGAAAATTAAAATCTTGTAATGACTAATTTCGTCAGTGTTGGAACTATATAGGTAATCTTCCGTTTAGGGACATTTAACAGAATGTATTGACACTCTACGCCAAATGACCTTTGACCTCACTTGCTACATTCACAGATCAAAATTGCAGTAAATTTATATATTTAATAGACTATGCTAATGCAAACAACTACCAAGTTTACTTTAAAGTCTGTAAATCACGTTTCAACTATCAAAATTAATACACATGATTCAAACAATGACCACTAAAACCTACATTTTTATAATATTCGATTAACTGATCATCAACCTTTATCCAATCTGGGTAACCAATCTTGCGCCTCATCGCCTGTGCCTGTGTAGAGAACATAATAGTGCATTGTTTATATATGACAAGAGTCAAATGTAGCACGTGTTTCGTCAATGTCTTTGCCACATGTTACTTTTCAACGACAATCGCTTAATCTGTATGTTTGTCCATTTGTTCTGATTCATTCTGAAACACACCTTTTCTTTTGCAACGCCTTGTGTCTGTTTGTCCATCCACTCTGATTCATCGACTAACTGAAGGAACGCAGTTTGCAGGTAATTAATCATGACATTGGTCTATTTGAATGAAGAAAACATACGTTACGTATATAAATGCATGATGGGGTGCATGATGACATGACATTCGAGCTTCATTGAAACTAAACGAAAGATTGTAATAGCATGGAGATGTTGTGTTAGGTGTTGGGACTTATTGTAAAACATAATTCTTTAGAATTAAATTTTAAATATTGATGACATTTTTCAAGTAAGACTGTAGTAATAATTATTGCATAAAAACGTAATGGCAATTGTTATTACCAAATATAAACATTGGTTTTGAAATCGATAAAATTACAACACTATACTGTACCCTGTCTTTGCTTTCTACATCATAATGTACATCTACAAACATTCTACCCGTAGCCATTCCCATTACATCATTGACGTGATTCACGCATGACTGCCATCGAGCGCCCTCTGACGCTGTGCCATAAACAATTGTATCAAAGGCCAGTTTCACTTTTCTGAAGTCGGAACTTAATTGACTAATTCTGTTCATTGTTATCCTCCACATAAGATAATTTGCAATAATCCTGGAATTTAATTGAAAGAAAAAAATATATTATAACAAATAAAATTATATTAAACGTTTTGCAAAATTCATTACCTACTTCATCGTCATGCTTGTTTAATATGCAAATCATCAAAGCCATGATCAAATAACTCTACGACACATATACAATACCGTGAATGGTTTTAACTATCATCATGTTGTTTATTAACTAGCATATTATATTACATTTTTTGGTGTGCTGCTCACCTTTTGTCTGTATAATTGGTGAGAATATTGACGTCTGCAACATATTTTGGTTCGTGTACTACTATATATTCACTAGTAGTGATGTTATCGGACCAGCTTGCATTTAATCCTCTATAATATCTCAACCAATCAAACTGTATGGGGGAAATTTGTAATCTTTGTCTTGTTATTTTATATTTAATAAATTAAAACTGGTCTCTGTTACATGGATGACGTTGTGTGGATTTGAATCAATTCACGTGATACGTATCTTAAATATGGTACTCGCTTCGTGGGATAAAGAATTATTCTATTAGAGTAATGTTTATTGTAAGGGGTTATGGTAAACAAATATACATACACCATTTCCGGTAATGTTTGACTGTAATTCAGACATGGTCATTTTGTTGTAAAGTTTGTTGGCATCTCGACGCTCGTCGGCAGGAGTCGTCAACTGGAATGAATTCAGCACAATTATTGTTCTGTTTGATTGTTTACATGATGATTATACGAGATATTGTTAAATTATCTCTGAAGAAGTAAAAATAAATGTCGTTAAATGAGTTTTGCACTGGCAAGAAATGGACACATTTAAAACTTTCAAGGAAC